ATATTATTAAAACTTAAGAATCTGTGACTAAAAATAATTTAAATCTGTATGTGCTGAACATTAAGTTATTTGCTTCATCTGAACATTCTGACTGCAAAAATTGGCCAGGATACATGGTGCCAAAAATACACTGTAAAAAAACATTTTATAACCTTTTATATCTTGAAAATATAGGGTTAATATTTTATTGTTATTACTTTAGTTGCAACCACAGCTCGTTTAACATTTTTAACAATATATTCATCCAAAATATCTAAATTGATTGGATCAATTTGATTTTCAACTGCTGATATTTGCTCTGAGCAGATGACTGATAAATTCTAAACACAAAAAGTTTTTATCTGTGTATTTTAAGTTCTTATGATTTAAATTATTAAGATTACTTGATTCTCAATGCCAATAAAAAGTTGATTGATGTACTTGAGATCAAATAACTTTTGTATCTGATGTCTAGATTTCAATGATGTTTCAAGTTCACTATTATTACGATATTCAATCAATATCCATTCAGTACACAAAGCAATGGTTTTTTCCTGAACAAATCTAAAGTAAGAATATTAATTAATAAAAAAATGAATGAAATCATAAAATAGTGTGTATATTAATTACTTTGGAGGTAATGTCAGAGCTAAACATCTGATCATATCATGAATGAAGTTTTGCAATGGAAATGTGGGTTGATTTGGAACTTGTAGTTTGGATACAACTAGTTCTCCACTTTCTTTCTCTACCTCTATATCCAGTATGTCCCACTTCTAAAACCAAAACATATAACAAACTTTACTTATACTTTGAATTTTTTTATTTATTTATTTATTATACTGGAATTGTAGATAGTTGTTCTCCAAGTGTAATTGGGAAAATATTTCCTTTTAAACCATCAAACATTCTTTTAGTCACTAATTCTATCCATTTATTCCAAACAATTATGGAGGAATTTTGTATTTCTTCTTTTGATAATGTCCAAAAATTAAACTAAACAAATAATATAAATTATTTTCCAAAATATTTATTTAGAATGTAACAAATTACTATTAAATATTTAAATATGACTACTTAATTGACATAATATGATTGTATATAATAATTAAATAGTTGGTGGTTAAAAAATATAATGTTATGTTTCCTTCATTTCAGAAAAATGTAAGCATTTATATGAAAATTGTAATGTTCTTATATCTATATAATAAATGTATTTTTTACATATTGCTAAAATTGATCACTCAAGTCATGCAATGATCCTTTAAATGAGTATACTGAAAATTCCTACTCATTTTATCTCCCTGTTTTAATTTTATTATATCTCTAATGGACTTATTGAATGGCCCTAAACCTTCTATTCAGTATAAATACCAATGTTACTGCATACTTATCCAGTTTAATGTCCCTTACCACTCTAATCCTATGATCATGATCTTATGCACATCCTCATGTTAATTCTATGAATTTAAATTTTTAACTTAGTTTTGTACTACTAATTAGATAACTTGATAATTTGGCTTAATTTGTTATTAATTAATATTCTCTGATTTGAATATTCTATACAATATTATTCTCATTAATAATTTGTAAAACTGTTAGTGGTCTGTTAAACAAATAAGAATAGTTTTATAGGAATAATAACACATCGAAAAAATATTTTTACGTTCATTAAAGAACATAAGGTTAGTTTATGTTAATAATTGAATAAAATCATATATATTAGTTGGAAATGGTATGAGAGTTAGTTTAAGGAGCCTAAGTGTAAAAAAATGACCAAACCAAAACGCGAAGTGACCCTCTCCTTATAAAGCTTTACACATTATCACATAGTTCATGATTAGTTCAGTTTTTTATAAATAATTAAAAACACTTTAAATCTGTTAAAGTGATTTAACTAATATTTAGTTACATTGTAATAAACAAAAGATAGGGGGATGAGGTGACCGAGTGGTCTGACACGTCCGCTGCGACGCAGCCGGTCGCGGTTCGATCCTCGGCTACCGGGCGGTATTTTTCTCCGGACAAATCGCGGTGACCGGAGAACAAGTGCTGCCATCCCCCACCTCCGGGGCATGGCAGAAACCTACGGGTGCCCCATTCGAAATTCTGCCAAAAACAAACACACACGTGTTCCCCCCTACCGTCCCAAAAATATACAATACAAACCTACAATACAAATCCTACTACAGCTAATGGCCTCAGTTGCCGAAGCTTAAGATCAATAAAAAAAAACAAAAAAACAAAAGATAACAAATTTACTCTAACACTGTACTAAAAAAATGACTTGATTAATCAAATTTATATGTTTAAATAATTTTCTCTATAACTAAAAACTATGATTAAAAATTAAAAAATAAAATAATAAATATGTCTTACCTGTTGATATAAGGATACCAAACATTGTTTTAATGTTGTACATAACACTGGCAAGAACCATAAAAATCTAGCTATTAACAATACACCAGGTTCAGTTAATGTGTCTTGCTCAACCAATTGTACCATACTTTTTCCCAATCTAGAAATATATAGAATGAGTATATGAATCATATTTTCTATTCTATTATTATAATACATAAGAAAACTATGATATAAGTTCAATAAAATTAATTAACCTAATAATAAAATTGTTACAACAACTTCCTTGATGTTGTCTTAAAGCCCACGGATCTTCATCTTCAGAGTACAATTCACTTAACATATCTACCAATAATGAAATCCTTCTTTCAACACATGCACACAATGCAGCAGTTCTATCTGAACAACCTATCGAACGGGTTTCAAAACATTCATCTGTATCAGAGAATAAACTATCTTGCAGGTGAGGTTCTTCTGGTCTGAAATAGTGCAGTGGTTATAAAAATACTTTTTTTTTTTATTTATTTCTTACTGTAATAATGCTTCGTCAATATCTGAAATAATTACGGGGAAAACATCTTCCCAATGACTGGTTAACAACTCTTTAGTTCTTTGAGCAAAGAGCGGACAGTATAATTCAGACCACAGATCAGACTCAAATGAAATTTGTTCAGATATAGCAGTCCAGTGTTGAGGGTAATCCTGATAAGTAAAAATAATAATTAATAAATACAATTTTCTTTTTTACCCACTTACAGTTGATAATTGATTTAAGTGATGAAGAGTTGAAAAAGATTGAACACTTTGTAGAATTTCTGTAACTTTGGTACAAACAAATGGTTTTGCCCAAACCAACCAATTAGTTACAATATTAGTTATGTATTCTTGTGATAATTCATTGGGAGTTAGTGTACAATCAATCCTAAGTTACATAAATTACAATTAATAGAAAATTCCAGACAAATTGTCAGATTACTTACTTGAATTCCTTAATGGAATTTGGTATGTATATAAGTCCAAATTTTAATGAATAATCTAAATCTACTAATGATAACACATTTGGTCTGTTACTCAAATTTTTCTTAATTTGCAGATATATCATTCCACTATTATAAAGATCATAGTCTAAAGAAAATGTATTAATTAAATAAATTAGTAAACATTATGGAAAAATATTGAAGGATACAAAATTGATTAGCCATTAATTGCATAGGCATGTTATTAGATTACAAATTACAATATCAATACTATATTTATATTTTAAAATACATTTATAATCTCACTTGTAAAACATAAATATAAATTGTAAATAGTGTTTATAATTAAATTACAACTGTTTTCAATATTTTTTTCAACTGAACTTCCCTCTGTTAATGAATGTTGCAACATGTTTGAACGTAATATAATAAATTCTTTAACTAAAGAATGAGCATCTAATTTTTCTAATATCGATAAACTTATAAAACAACATGCAGCTTTCTGTGGGAATAATAAAAAAACATAAATTTAGTAAACACAATGAAAATAATAGTTCATTATATTACTTCAGGTGAAATGTGACTAGACAATTCTAATCTTGTTTTATCCGATATCGTTGTTTGAAAGTGAGATATTGTAGACCAAACCCTGTCCAAAAATGGTTTACCCTTTTTAAGCCCTTTTGTTAAATCTTCATTCAAACCTAAAAATAAAAAATATATCTGTAAGAAATTGACTAAAGTCTACCATAAAATAAATTGGATTATTATTATTAACATGCTTTTTTTCTTATATACTTAATGATAATCTGTTTACTTGTTTTAATACATGAAGCCAACAGAAACAATTGAGTAGCAGTTAAATAATTTCTTGAGTTCAAACAATCCCATATTTGTTCAGTTAAATCAATTAAAAGTTTTGACTGAGCAGCAAATTTATCAAGTAAATTGTCTTTACTAAAGAATAAGAACATATTAAAATAATTTTTTTAAAGGTTTAAGCTGATTATTACCTATCCAAAGTTGTATTAGAATTAGTTTGGTTTGTTTTTAAAATATGTTCGGTAACATTTGTTATGTCACTAACTATTATTGCCATAGAACTAATTGTGTCAGCTGCATCAATGAGATCTCGGTACTTTTCGCTAAACATAAACAATTTAATTAAATAAATATAAAGTATGTTTTACTTTTCTTAAAAATATTTCTGTACAAACCTTACTAATGATTTTAGCTGGTCTGCCTTTTTCTCCACATCTTTCTTTAAAGAACTTTGTAAAGATTCAATTTCAGTCAAGTTACAAGTCTCAAACAAATCATTGGCAAACTCATTAGCATTTTTTGTTGGAAATTTTGTGTCCATTATATTAACACTTAGTTTATCTCAACAAGGTAATAAATAATAAATAAACTATAGGTATGTCATAACACAAATTATTAGTAGTATTGAATGGACTTTATTTCGATTTGATTAAACAGAATATAGTAATCGTACTTTAAAGTTAACAAAATTGAAAAACCTGTAGATAATTGATAGAAAAACTGACCAACTGACAAGCAACCGGGAAGCCAAGTTCCAAAATCCAAGTGGCATATTACTATAGAATAGATAAATATTACTCTATGGTTTTTGATAAGACTTGTTTTCATGATAAATGATAACACTGTTTTGTGTTTATTCATTCCTACTTTATTTGTGTTTTGTAGTATCTTATGTAAATAATAGCAGCTATATCAGCATTTTATAGCTGTAGGTATTTGGTGATTGTTATATTTCATTCTAGGTATATATAATCATAATATTATATTATTAAAAAATTATACTATGATATAAATAGCCAATTATAAAGCTATTAACTGAAAACACTGAAGTTCTGGTTTTAAAGCCTCACATCTTTTCTTCTCCAATAATTACTTTTCAAAAGCCCAAAAATGGTTCTAGGACCATTGGATCATTCTGTTCAAACAGATATTATATTTGTAATAGAGAAAACAGCCATGAACACTTATATTAGTGAACTGAAAACAAATTATGTGACTCCGACATTAGAGTAAGTTATTATTGAATTTTTTCTCAACCTAAATTGTTAATTATTAGTATTGGTTTGGTGTAAGTTTATTCATTTAAAATACTGATACCTATACACAATATGCAATTTATTTTAATCAAGTGAACTTATTCTTATTTTATAAAGATACTTTAACCAAGGACCTATTGAAGAGCGAGAGTATTTGTCTGAAGTAAGTATTATTAAAATATTTAATAGCATTACAATGGGTTGTATCATAAATCAATATTTATCAATATTACAGAGTAGCAGTGCGATTTATGGTATTGTAGTCTATGAAGCAAATGATTGTAAACCATATCCATGTTGTCGTACTTATGGAACATTCACTAGCCCACAAAAAGTCATTAAAATGATTGAAAAAATAGAGTAAGACCATTCATGTTCAAAATGTATTATATTTTTTTACTTAACCTTTTTTTTCAGTATGATTGGTGGTATGGCAGAATCGCATGCTTATATGGGTGAAGGTTTAGCAACGGCCCTGGTTTTCTTTGAAGACTTGCAAGAGATCCGTGAAGCTAAGCAAAGACACTGTATTCTCATATGTAATTCACCACCTTATAATTTTCCAATTATGGAATGTGAAACATATGCTGGCCGTAGTGTTGATCAGATGGCTAATCTCTTTCTAGAAGTATTACATTTTTTTTTAGTTATTATCTTTGGAAAAATGTAACTATTGTAACTATTAAATATTAATGTCTTAGAAAGGAATTTTACTCTCAATTTTATCAGCTAGAAAAACTCCAGCATTATTAAAATTATTTGAAAAAGCTGGTGGTGATCTACAAATTTCTCAGAACAAAAACTATGCAAAAGATCCTAGGCACCTAGTTTTACTCAATGGATATAGGTGAGTTTTTACATTAATTCATAAATATTAAGTTTTAATTTAGGCAACTATGAATGTTACAGAAGAAAATAATCTAAAATACAAGTTAATATTGATTAATGTATATTAAATCTAATATAATTGGTCAATTTAAATGACAGTTTTATTTCTATTATTCAGTGATAAATGAGAAATTGAAAATAGGAATGTGACATCATCAGATTGTCACTGCACAACTTACATGGTTTTATCATTTACGTGTTACTCTCATATCAGCTTAAAATAATATATTTTTTTATTTGAATGTTAATTTATGTGCCTAATGCTACAGTAAATCATAGATTAAAAATAGCGACTCAGTTTTTTAGTTCTTAAAATACTAGCAGAGCAAATAATATTACAAAAATAACATATTTAACTATGATATCACAATCGCAAAAACTGCTTTCTTATTTCCGTATTAAAATTCTGATAATACTATTAGAAGGTATTTTATTTCACCTATAGTTTAAAATAAAAAAATAATTGAATAATTTGCAAGCATTGTGTGAAACAAACAATTTTAACATAACCCATAAACTATATAGTAAATAAATATTTAATAGTGAACATTTTAACTATTATAATATAATGTATAAATGTCCTTTTAATGTGTTTCAGTCTAAAGGAACGTCCAATGAGCCCAACGCCCGCTACAACTCATTCTGGTCTATCTATGACTAGTCCATTGTCTACAAATGTTAACATTGGATCACCAGTTGCTTCATGTGCTCCATTCAGGACTACTAATCCGGTAATTAATCAAGCAACTACTCATTTGATTGTAAAACTGAATGTTTTTATAAATTGTTTATTTAATTAACGTATAAGGTTTAAGTTGAAACCACACAATTATAATTGTTGCATTAACTTATTTAAATTAATAATTATTAATTTTTAACCAATTAAATCAACAATGAATTTGGTCACATATATTTAATATTATTTACTATGTTTCATAATTAGTAAATGGTACTTAATAAAGTTTTGTAGAAAAATATGAAATTTGAAACATTTGTAATTTTACCCCAAAAAGTGTTGAATCAGTATTTATTACTTTGAGCTAAATTTAAAAAGTAAGTAATGAAAATGTGAAAAATTATTTTTTGGTCAGGTTTTGGCTATGCAGAATCAAGTTCAACAACAACAACATCATCAACAACAACAACAGCAGCAACAGCAACAACACCAACAACAGCAAGCCGTTCAGGCAGCCCAACAAGCTGTAGCTGTAGCTCAACAACAACAACAACAACAACAACAACAAGTACAACAACAACAGCAAATGATTCGTAATGTAAATCAAGGTCAAAACCAGCAATACTCAAATGTATCAAATACTGGTGGTTTCTTGAGGCCTCCTCAAGCGCCTCGTAGTTGGCAAATGATGCAAACGCAACAGCGTCAACCAAATCAAGCAAGCGCATTAATTGCACAGCTAACAACTCCTTCATTCCAACAACGATTAGATAGTAAGTAACATTTTTAGATTATGTGAGGAAATGGTATGGTCAAATGGACGTAAAATTAGTTGTCAGTTGCAGTAGGTACTGAATGAATAGTACAAAATCTAAAATCTTTAAACAAATTAAGAATTAGTTGATACTTTTGACTACCATTCATTTAATTATTTATTTGAAAACAAATTCTAAAAGCTTAATCGAAACTTAATTGTTATACTCTTTAGTGGCATCACAACAACAAGTACAACAGCAGCAACAACAAGTTCAGCAGCAGCAACAACAACAAGTTCAACAGCAGCAACAACAAGTTCAACAGCAGCAGCAAGCTCAACAACAACAACAGCAGCAACAACAGCAAGCTCAGCAGCAGCAAGCACAACAGCAGCAGCAGGCACAACAGCAGCAGCAAGCTCAACAGCAGCAGCAAGCTCAACAGCAGCAGCAAGCTCAACAGCAGCAGCAGCAAGCTCAGCAGCAGCAAGCTCAACAGCAGCAACAAGCACAACAGCAGCACCAAGCACAGCAGCAACAGCAGCATCAGCAGCAGCAACAGCAACAAGCTGCTCTACGAATTATGAACCAACAGCAGCAACAAGTTCAACAACAACAGCAGCAACAAGTATTTTTATTGATTGTTAAATAAATCAATGAACAATGTATTATTGAATATGTCATTATTGTAGAATGGACCTGGCAGACAAACTATTTGGACGGGGACATTAGAATGGATAGAGAAATCCAAGCCTTTAAATGAAATACCAAAGATAACCAGAAACGTCCCTTGTATTGTTTCAGCTAGTATTAAAAATGGAGAGCCAGAACTGTAAAATTGCTACTGCTACTTGAATATTTAAATAAAAAATGTTTTTACATTTATTTTATTTTATATTTAGAAAAGCAGAAACATGGCCTGAAAAATTAATCATGCAATTGATGCCCAAGAATTTAATAGGAAGTATTGGAGGTGCTCATTTGAAAGACTCAAAATCTGTGGTTTTCCAACCTACGCCGTGCGAAGCATTGGAGTCTTTGACAAAGTACATGACTAGTGGATATGTAAGTTTTCTAGTACCTGAAGAGAGTATACTCATTCTTTATTTATAAAAATTCAACTATTTATAGGCTGGCTGTGTGCATTTTAACAGTGCTCCAACTTCTCACAATTGTGATGTTAAAGTATTAATTTTGCTTTATACACACGATAGAAAAGCATTTATTGGGTTTATTCCTAATGATCAAGCAGCATTTGTAGATAGATTACGTAAACTTATACAACATCAAAAAGCTTCCTCAGCCATATTACGTCAAGGACAGGTAAGATTTTTAACTTTATTTTTGGTCTATACAGTAAAAGAGTAGTATAAATTTATACTAACGAAATACTGTACTAAGTACTTTGTATTTTTTAATGAAAATTATTCATTAAATATACATTAAACATTTGAATTTAAAAATCGTAAACAAATTGTAGTTATTAAGATTTCAGTGTATGTGATTTGTATACACTGTCAAAATTTAACAAAAACAATATGCATTTTCAATTTTTAGTTAACCAACCTTATTAGTTATTTTTACCATATTCAGCAAACGTCACCGTAGTAAAATCGTTAGTATTATTATTATTTTTTAAACATTTTAGGCATAGTTATAATATTATATATAAGCATTGATATATTTGTTTACATCTCCTTGTAGTTACCGCCATCTATGGTCGTTGGCGTATACTTCGGAGAGATGGTTATAATCTTCCGAGTTCGGCCGCTCGATCATGTTGGTATTGCCAAACTGTAAACTTTTGTTTACATTTCCATACGTGTACACACTGATCACAAACGCCGATCTAAAATGTCTGTTGTGTTTGCCGTAATGCCGTATAAACACGCGTCGTTAGCCGATTAATGTTCTGTTTCCATAAATTGTTTTCTCTACTCTTTTAGTTTTTACGCTAACATCACTTAATAATTAACGTACTCCAGTTGCGTTTAACGCTTCACTAATACACTACATACCCGTACAATGGCAGACGCTGATGATCTTTTAGACTACGAAGAAGACGAACAGAATGAAACCGTCGAAAGCGATGACAAGAAACAAGCCAAAAAAGAAGTAAAGGGTAACTATGTGTCCATACACAGTTCGGGTTTCCGTGATTTCCTCTTAAAACCGGAAATATTGAGAGCAATCGTTGACTGTGGTTTCGAACATCCGTCCGAAGTGCAGCACGAGTGTATACCACAGGCTATGTTGGGCATGGATATTCTATGCCAAGCCAAGTCCGGTATGGGTAAAACGGCCGTGTTTGTATTATCCACCTTACAGCAGTTGGAAGTATATGAGAGCGAGGTATATGCTCTGGTCTTGTGCCACACCAGAGAATTGGCTTTCCAGATAAGCAAAGAATTTGAGCGCTTTACTAAATACTTGCCGGCAGTCAAGGTCAGTGTTTTCTTTGGTGGTGTGCCCATCACAAAAGACGAAGATACGCTAAAGAACAACAAGCCACATGTAGTTGTAGGCACACCCGGTCGCATTCTAGAACTGATCAGAAAAAAAAAATTGGTTCTCAATAATCTGAAGCATTTCATTTTGGATGAGTGTGATAAAATGTTGGAGATCTTACACATGCGAAGTGATGTCCAAGAAATATTTAAGAATACACCGTTTAACAAACAAGTAATGATGTTCAGTGCCACACTTAGCAAAGATATACGACCTGTCTGTAAAAAGTTTATGCAACAACCATTGGAAGTGTATGTTGATGATGATGCCAAACTATCATTACACGGCCTCCAGCAATACTATGTTAAGCTCACTGAAAAGGAAAAAAATAAGAAATTGTTTGATCTTCTAGACGAACTAGAATTTAATCAGGTAAAATTAAATCTCAATTAAGTATTATTTTATTATAGAAGTAATGTAGTGTATACTATTAAACTTAAGAGTTATTATATATATTTTTTAAAATAATTTTTCAGGTTATCATTTTTGTTAAATCTGTTCAACGTTGTGTAGTCTTAACAGAGCTACTAAATGAACAAAATTTCCCATCTGTTGCCATGCATGGTGGTATGTCCCAACAAGATCGATTGAAGTTCTACCAAGAGTTCAAAGATTTCCAAAAACGAATATTGGTGGCCACCAATTTGTTTGGTCGAGGAATGGATATAGAACGAGTGAACATTGTTATAAACTATGACATGCCTGAAGACACCGACACCTATCTACATAGAGTGGCAAGAGCAGGACGATTTGGTACCAAAGGATTAGCAATTACTTTCATTTGTGAAGAAACTGATGCAAAAGTTTTGAATAGTGTTCAAGATAGGTTTGATGTCACCATTGGTCGAATGCCTAATGAAATTGATCTTAGTTCTTATGTTGAGAGAAAATAACTTTTATAATATCTAATATTTTATGAAATTTTACAAAAACAATGATAATAATATGATAGCTTGACTTATGATTTTCAAGTTTTGCAAGACATATTCTTTCATTCAAAAGTGTATTACTCTCTTAAGTGGTTTACTTCACCTTTGAGTAATCATTTTAAATATAAACTATGGAATAATTTTGTCAATTTTTTTTTGCATTTGTGTATTGTGTATGGTTTAATATTTAGGAACATTAGATATTATCTTCAATATATGACTAGAAGTTAAGATTGTACATAATAATGCAACTGACTTAATTATTAAACTAATGTGCAAACTGTATTGATAGTAGTTTTTTAAATTTTCCAATAAACTTAGACAAAAAATTCTTTTTTTAATATAAAGTGTTTATTAATGATCACTTAAAGTATTACTAATAAATTATCATAATTTAATTTTTTATAAATGCCAAATTGATTTCTACATTTAACAATTGTGTTGAATTTTGTTCTACTAGTTTAGTTTGATTAATTAAATTGAAATTCTTTAAAATTAATTTTGTCTCGTCATTCAAGTTTTCTATATTATTATTACAATTTATAACCGTTCAACTGTAATGTCAATTTTTTTTAAATTTAATCCGTGTATTAATATAAGTGAATTAAAATTTATAATAAAAAAATGTATCCACTAAAATGTTAACAATGTATTATGTATTCCAAATTGTGGATCCATGTTGAAGTATTGCAAAGTATCGCATGCCCATTATTTAAATATTTAATGTTTTTACTTTTTAGCACTTCTTTCATAGTGTTGGATTTTTATTTGATATTTTTATTTAACTAAATGAAAATACAATCATATTTATTCAATACTTAAAATACAATTATGATGAATTTTAACAACCAAATTGTATACATTTTTTGTGTATCTATTCCCTTATCACAATTACTAGTTTACCATCCTAAATACATTATATTTGGTTTACAGAAATAAATATCTTATGGTTTTCTTAAACTGTACATTCTTATTGATTTTGTTGATAATAGAAAATGAATTGTTCTATATACCAAGAATAAGCAAATTTAAAGTAAAAGACTTCATTTGCTTAAAAAAAGAGGTCTCTATATTTATTAGCAAAATACAAAATAACGCCCTAAACTGAAATGGGTCCAGTCTTACTGTTCTCCAACCAAATTCTGGTTGAATTATAACATTTGCAGGGAATTCTAAATAATAATGTCCTAGTCAATACTTATTTATTTAGATTGGTGAATACGTTTTTAACATGAATTTTTAATAAATTGTGTATTTATATCATTAATAAATAATAAGTATTCAAAAAAAAATGGTGAGTAATAATTAATAATAATATAGGAATTAATAATTTTTTGAGTACTAATTTGAGTTTGGTTTTTATATCAGGAATTTTGCACCCCTAATAAGGCTATCTTTTTCTGCCTTATTAGGGGTGCAAAATTCTATGTTAATTTAATTAATAGGTAAAGGAAAATGTATTAACAAACTTTTTCATTCTGCTACTCTTTTGTTTTCACAATTTTTTGGTGGCTCTCAAATTATTAAGAACACAGAAAGAAAATGTTTTAATGTTTAGTTATTTATAGTTGATATTTTATAAATACATCAATTTATATCATGACATTAAGTTTATTAATAATTATGTATTGAAAATGGAAAGTAAACGTTTTACCTATAGAATGAAGCAATATATTAATCATTATTATTATTATTGTATTCCCTATTCTGTACCATTTCTCTCCTGGCAAATATTTTTGTAGCACATACATAATTATTCTGCTTTATGATATATTAGAGATAAAAAAAATAGGACAGAAACCATCATGCATATCATCTTATAAATTTTAAGTTGTAATTAGATACAATGGCATACTCAAGGGGGGCTAAGAGATTTTCACCCCCCCCCCCCACAATTGGCCGTGTTATAGTATAAATCTTAGGTAATAAACCATGATATTTCTGAAAATAGTTTTGAAGAAACATTTTACGTTTTATTAATTATTACAGTTACGGGATATTGTAATAACGACCTAGTATTAGGTTACGGATATCAAATTCTGTTTAACTTTGTTTAGCCCTCCCCCCAAATTTAAAAATCCTGGGTATGCCACTGATTAAATGTGTATAGGTACCACAAAAACATGTAAGGGATATTAAGTATTAAGACATTAAGTATTAACTGACAATCAAATAAAAAAAAAAAAAATTATAATTATAAATTACAGTAATATAATTATTTTTATAATGTTTTAATGCGTATATCATACTAAATAGCAGGGGTCAGGAACCTGCGGATCCTTAACATGCAATCTGTAACACTTTGGAAAATGTATCAATATTTAGACATAGAGACCGATACCCATAAAATATAATATAAAAATTTAGTAAAAACTTTTTTTAAATCAAATCATTTAAGGAAGATCGCTTTTGGAATTTTGTCATTTTTGTATCTTATTTTATATTAAATTGCTCATATATGCAAAAAGGTTCCTGACCACTGATATATAGGTTGATTCACCTGACATTAAGTGTCAATAAAATACAAAAGTATATTAGTGCCTACTTATAAACCTGTGTAGTGTGTATTGTTTTATTAGTGTTGAGATTTTGTTTTAATACAATGGATTTATTAGCAAAAAAGAAGAAAAGTAAACATTTCAGTTCTTTTTGCACACAAAATAAAATACAAAAATTGAATTAATTAAGAATTTGTTTGATTAAGAACAATTGACCTTGCTATAGATATATGATATTAAAAATCCCAATATTAAAAAATAAAATTAAAATACAATATAAGCCCCCTGGTTAAATTTTAGAAAAAAATTAGTTGATTATAATTTTTGTTTAATTAATTAATAAATGTTATTTATTTATATGAGATGGCAAATAAACACTTTTTTTAATGCTTATAATGTTTATTGTTTAACATATAATATCACAATATCTATAGGCTATAGCAATACTTTGTTGGCTATTGGTTTTATAAATTGTAACTGTTCCGAATTCAAAAATATTAATTGTCTTGAGGTTAGGTATTGCTCTCTTGACAGGTCCATATTAGAATTTGCATTAGTTTGAAATCCTTAACAGAATTATCTAATTGACAAACTTGAAAAAGTCCAATGACCTTTTAAGGATGATGGCATACAAATTAAGCCGAATGGACGTCTCGCTAGATATCTTGGCTGTGGAATTTGGATTAGAATCATTGGCCTCTAGAATTCTATATAATGACATAGCTTTTGTTTATAAACTTAATTAACAGTTAACTATCCAGCCCAGAATTCCTAAGAAAAATATACTTTAAAATTCCAACATTCAAGTCTAGAAATAATGTCCCTTTTTTAGTACCTCAATGCTTACAAATATAATTATACTTAGTGCAAAGTATCGCCTTTTAGATGCTTATAATAATATATCTCACTTTAATTTTTCTTTTGATTCACAGCTTAAACGAAAAAAATTGATTATGAACATGAATATTATAGTTAAACTTAAACCTATATGCATTTATTGTGTATAATAGATTTGTAGATGTACTCTTTACTCCTTTAATGTGTTACAAATAAATATGAATTAAAGCGCAAAAATTATATTATAATAAAAATTATTTTATTAATTTTAGTAACTTTGTTTTAATTAATAAATTCATAAACTAGAACTTTGTTCAAAATTACTAATTTTCATTATTTGTTTCTAGGGTGGAATGGGAATGCCTCAAGGCAATATGCCTGGGCAGTTGCAATTACCACCTGGTCCAAATATGCCTGGTGGTCCAGGACCTAACCAGATGCCTGGGCTTATGCCTAACAATGCATTAACAGCCTCTTTACAAAGTCAACCTCAATCAAATTTGGGTTAGAAATTAAATAAATTACAATCAAAATTCAATAAAATTTGTTCAAATAATATTTTTATTTACCATGATAGCTGAATTAATGGGTTCCAACAATTTTGCACCACAAGGTAATCAGGTGGTCCCTAATAGTCCATCAGTTCAAATGATGCCTAGTCCTCAACCAACTGGACAACCGGTCAATGTCAATAATCCAAACATGCCCTTACAGGTAAAATAATTTTAAAATGATACATTATTTGAATGGCTTTATTTTTGATTACAACTCTATTTAATAGAGTCCTGGAGGCGTTGGAAATGTTGGTGTTCGTCCATCACAAGGCCAATACAGTGAACAAATTGAGATGGCTAGAAAGCAAAATTTAGCCAAGATACATCAACTTCGTCAGACATTAGAAGCAGCACAACAACAAGAATTACAGTATAAGTCACAAATGGAGGTACTTAGATTGTTTTGAACTTTTTTATTTTAATGTCTTATTAGTTATTACTTATAATATATTAATTGTAGATACAAAGTCATCAAATGAACATACCACAAATGCAGCAACGTTTGGAACAAGCCCAAATGCAAGAAAACATATTGAAGTCTCAACTAGAAGTACGATAAGTATATTATTTTTTGTATTTTAGAAATATTTAAATATCATTATATGGTATAGATACGTAATCAAATGAATGTGCCCCAAATGCAACAAAATCTGGAACATGCTCAAATGCAAGAGACCATATTAAAAGCACAATTGGAAGTGAGTAAACTTTTTCAATGTGTTGGTCTATTTGTTATGTTATTGTTTAAAGAGCATTTTAATGATATATTTTTTATATGTATTTTGATGGATTTATTTGTAACGTGTTGGTCATTTTATGTCTAGCATCAACAAGAAGAACAACACAAATTGAGAACCCAACAATTCCATATCCATCAACAGCAACAGCAACAGCAGCAGCAACAACAGCAGCAACAACAGCAACAGCAATCAAGGCAAATGGTTCCTGGAAATCAATCACCACAGATTATGGGCAATAGTGCACCTCAGCAAAGAATGCAAATGAGACCTGTAATGTCCAGTAATCCTGGTCTCAGACATTTATTACAACAAGTATGTTTTTGTTTTTAACGACATTATATTGATTGTGTTCCATAATTTTTTTTTTAAACTAAACTACTAATTTTAACATTTACTCAGCAACCTCAATATAGACCACAAATGATGGGCATGCAGCAGGTTCCCGTCGCTCAAGGCAGACCCTTACAACCTCAACAACAGCAACAACAATATGAAGAAGTTCATACATTTGACTTTCTCAACTAATTCAATTTTAAAATTATTATTTTTAAGTTTATTTTGGTTAAATCATCTGTCATCATTTTTTAATTATTTAGTAAACGATAATAAAAAATGTATAAATTACTTCATTTTTTTTTTTACCAAAAGATTTTTGATTTTGGACAAACAATTCTAGAACTCCTGTTTACATAAATTATACTTATTTTATTATTTGTAAATAATTTCATCAATTTTGTTAAGCATCTATAATAAAAAAAACTTATTTTTTCTTTTAGATTTTAGCCTGTTTTTATATTTTAAAATAATGTGTTTTCCATTTATGTATTTATTTTAAATTAATTGAAAATATTAATGTTTCTATATTATGCTAATTTTAATAAGTATATACAAATTTGGTTTTATCAAGAACACAATTTAGTATTTACTAGTCACTATTCCACTTAAGTATTCTAGTATCAACCGGATACCTCTGCTCCTAATTTTGTAATCTATACTTCAAAATAAGGATGGTGGTCGGCAAGAGATGAGTTTTTGTCTTTGGTGATAACTCATTTTCAGACCCTTCCCTCATAGAGTCAACATGCTAAGCCATGCTTTGGAACAAAGCCTACTCCCTTGTGCACAAGTTGACTGCTGACTACTGTTCTTACTTTGAATAGAGTATAGTAATGTTTTTCAATTCAGAAAAGCTCACTCCTCAAGCATGCTAACTTCCTGGTTTCTAGATATAAATATTTTAAACAACCGACTATAATTCCATGTACAATTTTAAAATAATTATGTAACCTTGTATAATATATATTGTAGTCAAGATAAGGAACATAATCACCAACAATCAGTTTTCGTTGGTTGTAATTTTGTTATAATTCAAAAAACGAATTACTGTAGATTCTTGACATTTCCATCATATGTTTATTTTATCATTTTCTATACTTGATACAATTTTCACTAGTTTTGAGCTGTTAATATACATTTTCAATTTCCAATTGTTTTAGTTTTTCTTAAATGTCAATAATATGTTATTCCTTGTAATTTCCTATAAGCTTGAAAATTTAATAAAAGACTCCTGAATCCTGATATATTGTTAGAATAGTAGTTTAAACATACTAAAAATACACAGGTACAATTTTCTTTTTATGAGCATTTTGTTCAAATTTTTACAACATTTATTTAGTAGTTAAAAATTAAAAAAATAATTTAATTAACCTATTGTTTGTTATTTTATTATTTAATCTTTTCTAAAATGCTTAAATCACTTGTCCTTACTGTAAAAAATTATTTTACAGATTGTACAATTTCTCTAGATTAAAAATTTAAAAAAAAATTGAAAAAAACGCTAAATTTTTATAGCTAAAAATTTATAATTTAAAGCAAGGTTAAACTTAAATAGTTGGTTCTGTATCCAAAAAATCTAAAAAATTATAAAAGCATAGGTAGTTTTTTTGTACCTTATATTTTATTAAGTTCAAATTTGACCGAAATTAGTAATTACATAATAAATAACCAAGAACGGCAAGAAGAACAGTTTTAGTTATATTTTTGTAATTTAAAAATATTATTCGTAGCTATCCACTTGAAACTTCTAATGTTATTATGTACAAATATAATAAAATGCAAATAATATTAACTCAACCTACACACAGTAATAATAATGAAAATATAAATATAATATAAAATACCCTAGGCCGACAAGTCATAGAAAAGAGGTTAAACAACCCGTCTCCGCTCAGAATCGTATTTGTATACAATGATATTACATTATTAAATTCAAATTTAACATCATCCTTTGCAGCAGTGGTTCTCAACCTTTTTTTACGACGACGACACCCTAATTTAGATCCATAAAAATGGCGACACGCTTAAAATAATTAATGGATTTCGAAAAATTACAATGATACTATTATATATCTAATAAATGTTCTTTTCTCGTAGAAGTTAAATTTGCATTTTTAATATTTTCTTCTCACATGATACATGAACTAGGTATATAATGATACTACCCGCCGCATTTCAGTCTCTGAAAATGATGAAAAATAACTCTTAAACTTTGAGAAAGTGTTGACAAATGTTCGTCGTTTAATATATTTTAGTTTCATTTTTAAAATTTTTTAATTAATACTTAATCCATTAATGATTCTTAATTTTGTTTGGATCATAACCATAAATACATTTTTTTTAAAACATTCCATGTAATAATTTGTAGATATTATATTTTCTTTACGACCTTGTATACGCGAATTTAAAACATTAAATTTTGAAAAATGTCAGCTGCAAGGTAAGCTATTTAGCACATCACATTTCATCATCAATTTTATTTTATTTTTTTACTATTTCATCATAATACCGTAATAATGTCATATACTTTGAAAGCTTACAGTTTAAATTAATAATATTCGGCGACACATCATCATAATACATGACACACCGGTTGAAAACCCACGGCATTGAGTACCTACCTATTACAGTGACCCACTTGTAACTAGTAGGTACAGTTGTATATACCTACTGCAGAGCGTCACCCACCTACCAGCTTTTTTATTATTATTATAACTATGCAATTTTTAACATAAACAATTAATTGTATTCTTATATTTGTATTTTTTATTTAGATATTATTATAATATAATTTATGAAATAATTTTTTTTAATAATTTATATTATATTTTAATATTTAATAAAATTTAACATGCCCGTCAATCCCCAGTATATGGCTTCTGGATATTTTTGTGTAGTTCGTAGATTTTTCAACTACCAGCCCGTGTTACCCACTGTGCCAAGATATTTCAATATCTACTTAAATTCGTTACAACTTCGAAACTAAATCCGACCGGCAAATTCTAGTGGTAATTACTACTTACATTTTTTTATCAAACACTACATAGGAATAAATAAAAACATTTGAAAAATCGCATGGAAACTAAATTAGAATTTTGTATTTTCCGAATATTCTATTTTATTTTATTTGTAGAATCCGTAGAAATATTGTAAAACTAATGGCCCTTGCTGCCGAGTAGTATTTAAAGATCAATAAGAAAAAAAAATATTGTATGACGTGTCTTTTAAATATTTGTACTTTGCAAGTTGCAACCAACTGTTGTCTCAGCAAATAGTAACAATACTGGCCGAATGTAAATAAGTAAATTGTAGTATTATCTGAACTTTAAAAAAATATGTATTGTTAATTTCTATTGAATACACTTAGGATTAAATATTATTTATAATGTCATTATATTGGACTTTAAATGCCTAGACGCCTAATTAATAATTATAAACTATAGTAATATTATTATAAATTTAATTTTTACCTAATACCTTTACGGTAATACAGTTGTAAATACATATTAAATAGTAAAATGGTTAAATTTTAATGATGTTTTGTAAATAATGTATTGACATTTTGAAATATTGGATCTTAAGGTTGAAATCATTGACATATAAATATATAATATATAATATTTAAATGCCTATGGTTTAAATCATGATGATAATTGATAACGATAGTAATAATCATATTGATAACGTTCTTATTATTGTTATTTGTTATTGACTAGTGAGTAGTGACTACTTACAACTGGCAAGTGGCTACAAACTACAAAGTTGTAGTAAGTTCTATAACTAAACCTAATACCTAAGTTGTTTAAATGTAAGTGTTCACTCGATTTTAAGTATTGTGAGAATATTATGTTGTTAATAGTCTGGTGGAAATATTATTCCAAAGAACGTTTTTAGATATCATTTGTTCACCGGCCTCAAGTACTATCTTTAATTTACTTTTCAAATCAAATGAGTTAATGCGTTAGTGGCGTTCCATTTAGTAGATCTTAAACTGTAGACGGTCCGTCGGTAAATAGGCATGGCTGGCAAGTCGACGGAACCTGAATCGCCGAAGAAAAACGAGAAGTTTGATCAATTTTATACGGAAGTGAGTTAATGGTCATTGCTTGTTATTACATTGTGCTTTTTTATATCATTACTTCATTGATAGGTAAAAGAAATCGAAAAACGTGACTCTGTGTTGACGTCGAAACAACAGATTGATAGGCTCCTGCGTCCTGGAGCCTCATATTTCAACCTTAATCCATATGAAGTACTCCAGCTAGACCATGACACACCTTTGGATGAGGCAAAGAAAAAATATAAAAGAGCAAGTTTTATTTGATTTTTATTTTTTTTTTAATAAATAAATTTTTCTTATATAACACATTTTGATTACTAACAATTATTTTAGTTGTCTATTTTGGTACATCCAGACAAGAACCAAGATGATTTAGAAAGAGCAAACAATGCTTTTGAGACCGTTAACCGTGCATGGCGGACAATCGATAACGATGAATCTCGGAAAAAATGTCAGGAGATCATACAGGAAGCCAAGGATATGACTGAATTCATGGTTGTAGAGAAACGTAAAAAATTGAAAAAAGAAGGCAAAGATACAAAAGTTGAAGAAGATGACCCATCTATTATGAAGCGCAGTATTTATGTTCAAACATGTAAATTATTCGCTGATTTAGAACGCAAAAGAAAAGATCACGAAGCTAGAGAATTACAAGAAAGAAAACGAAAACGAGAACAAGAAATAGATGAAGAACAAAAAGCAACTGTGTCTAAAGAATGGCAAAAAAACTTTGATGTAAGCTTACTTATTGATTATTATTTAGTATATAGGTAGTACAAATACGTGACTAACTACGGATAGAATTCGTATTTAATCTTAACAATTAACATTTTTTGGATTACAAGAATATTAGTGATCTCAAAGGAAAAAGAAAATATTGGGTTATTAATTTTTGTTTGATGAAAGTTGTACTCTAAAAAGCTGCAGATTATGAAATTAATTAATAATATAGATAAAACAACATTTTTTGTTATTTTTATTTTTACTTGCCAAAGTGGAGCATAACTTAAAAATGCAATATTTATTCAAATTTTAGATCTTGATAGTTAACTTGAATTTACTTTGGTAACAATGTTTAATAACTAAATAAATTAAATACAATTGTAATTGTTAAACTAACAACTGTTTAAAACACAGATTTACTTAACAGCACAAATCTAAAAATGCCAATATATTTTACATCTTTATTTATTTATTCTTTAGATACTGTATTACAAAAGTTTCAGTATTTTATTATTAAGCTAGTTGTTTTTGTATAATGTAGAATGTACAATTCATTAATAAAAAAAAAAAATATACTGATATAGGAATCAAGAGAAAGCAGAGTCAACAGTTGGAAAGCATTTCAGGAATCAACAAAAAAATCAAGCAAAAAAATCAAAATTTTTAAGCCACCTAAACATAAAGCAGAATCAAGATAAAACGTTTAGGTATGTAATGTATAAAAACTAATATTATATATTTTTTAATATATTAGTAATATTTTTATTGTTTTATTTTCAGTAACATAGGCTCTATGTTTTTCAGTTGTATACATAAATGTGTATCATGTTGTAAAATAAAATGAAAGTTTTTTCATAAAACTCTTTATTCTTATTTATCTTTTTTACATGCATGAAAATAAAATAAATATTTTTTTCTAAAAATAAAATTATGTATGTTTCGAAAATAATATTCTGTTATTTTCTTGTATTATAATAATTAGTAGTTAAAAAAAATATCTGACTGCTTTGAAGAAATAAATATCTGTAAACATAGTTCTTATCCTATAACAATTACTGTGTACATAAAAATGTTTTTATTAACTATATAGTATTTAGGTAACAATTATAATGTAATGAGTTTTATGTTATAAACTAATTGATATTTAAAGTATAAATATAACATATTTTTTTAACATAATATAAATAATCGTTCAGCTTAGTTGAAAATTAAATATTTAACTTTTAGACTCTGAAATGTTTATCAATGACACAATTTGTTTTTTGTACTTAATCTTCAACATAATATGTTATACATTCACTTTAAATATATTAATCAAATGTTTGTTTTATTGAGATTCAAATTATTGTTGTCATAGTTTATCAAAATACACATAAATTTAAAAATGTGTTTTAAAAAAGAAAAGATAAATGAATTTGTCTTACAATATTAATATTATTATTTATTATCATCACAATATCTTAATATTAAAAAATTAAGTCTTTATCGATTGAGTTTTCAATTGGTATCTTCTGCATCATAATCATCATTATCACCACTGAAATCTTTTGAGCTGACCTCTTCGTCATCAAGTGGGAAACCTATTCCGTTTTCGTTAATTTCATTTTCAGAAGTCAAAGGTGCTACTGAGAGTGGAAATTTGGGTTTGCGACACACAAAATATACGCTTTTGTACTCGTACTGTAGCATAGACTGTGGGTTTTGAGCATACTTGGTGGGCACATTTAAAATTTCTTTCTATAAAAACAGGGAATTATTTAAATAATTTCTATGATTTGAGTTGGATCCAAACTTACTTCAAACCGAAAACCAATCCCCTTAATCACTTCTTTAATAACTTGGTAACTGGGTTCAATAGAATTTTGATCAAACACGTTACTATAATGATACAATAATGGCCCTAAATTGACCCATATGCCACCAGGCTTAAGTATTTTATATATAGTTTCAATAAACGCAACTATATTGTTGGCACAATCAATAAAAAAACATGTAGCAATACAATTCCATTCGTCTTTATCTGTGTAAACCTATAAGCATTTGAATAAAGTAAATGTAGTCTTAACACATTTTAATCGAAAATCCTTATACTTGTAAAAAGTCACCAGCAGCCATTGATATATGTGCATTGTGTGGTAACTCTTTGGCTGGATTTATATCAGGAAATGAAATACATTGCATTTGGTGTTCAGTTTCTAAATTGTTGTCACACTGATGAATCCACGGATAAAGAACATACATATTAACACCTCGACATCTATAAATTAGGTAGTTATGTATAAAAAAATAAACATAAATATTGTTAGGAAATAAAGACTCTTACCTGTTTAACACAAAATTTGATGCTATTAACATGAACACAGAAAACTCATTTCCCTGACTTGTGTAACCCAATTTGGCAATTTCAAACACCAATCTTCCAAGACCAGCACCAGGTACCAAAATTTTAATTTCAGATGCTGAAACACTAAAGTTGTTTGTTTTAATTAATGTGTTATAAAATCAGTAAATATAATTAGGACGTACGATTCTAATGGAAATTCTTTTAAAATCTCATCAATTATAGGTTTATAACAAGTGTTACGTTCTTCAACTCCTTCAGTACTCCAATCTCGTACAAACTGTTTCAGAGTTGATTGCACTTTTTCTAAATCAGATTCAATTGGTTTGTACTCATCAGTTGAATGCTAAAAACATTAAATATATGAAAAATCATAAATGAGAAAAGTTTATACTTTTATTATTTGTTTATTGGTGTCATTATCATTACCCAACCATCTAGACTAGGAGTATTTTGATTTTCAAACAAATAGGCAGTATCTTTAACCATTTCTAATATAACATTATAATTAAAATCTACACAATGTCGTATAGTTTCCAAACTGTTATTGTAGTTTATCAGTAGTCTTTGATGTTGTTCTGGTAATGATTTCAAGTAGTTTATGGTCTTGGTGAGTCTGCTCAGAGAATGAATTCTGAGAAAAAAAAATAAACAAATTTTACTAATATTAAAACTATTTTATAATTTAAATTTAAAAAAATATAGAAGTTAATATATTATACAACATATATACCTATGTACATGTGATAAATTTGTTTTGTCATAAGTTAATGTTTTTTAATTATGATTAATTTAAAGAGAATGACTCAATACATTTTTTATTTTGGTAGGTATAACTAAACTGTATTTTACCAATTCCAAAGTTAAAATAAATTGTGTTTTTGTAAACATTTTGAGACACTTGATTTTAGATAAGGGAAAGATGAAATTAAGTACAATAAATGTGTGTAATAGATATACAATTAAAATTATTTTAGGTATTGAATTTCTTTCTGCAGCTTACACACATCTATTATAAGTAATATACTGTCAAACTTTAAACTGCTACATGTTTTGTCCAATAAGATGCAACAGGAAATTGTGTATATGAAGACAAACAAAGTGTCTGTAAAAGTAGATTCATATGCATTAAAATAATATACTTCAAGCACTATCAAGAATGATTTTTTTTTGTAAACAATGGGTTAGCTAATATAAATCAAATGTTTCAATTATTGTTGATACAAACATAATCATAATATTACAATATTACCTGTAAAACATGAATGCTGTTATGATTCGTTGGAAGCTCTTTTTCTCTTCTTCTATTTTCTCTTCATCTGTGTGACAACAATCCATTTTAAGTAGGTATTTTTTTTTTTTTTGTTTATCTATTCAAAATGTCTAGAGTCTAAAGGTAAGAAAATATTATAATAAAATAATATAATATATTTAAAAATACTACAACAGCTGTACTAAATCGTTTCTACTAAGAAAATAAACACAACTTTAAGCGGTACATAGAAAATAATCCGAAAGCAACATGTTAGTATGTTACATGTGCTCGTAATCCGATGTTGAGTGAGAAAAAATCGTATCTACTTCTACAGACGTGATGATAAAGTAATAAGTAATAATAATAATAAATGAGTACGGGAAATTATAACGTATGGGTACCTATGTTGTAGTAAGTGAGCTTATAAGTATTTACTATTTAATAAGCACTAAGAAGTGTGATAATATTATACTGGGCAATTAACCCTTGCGACCTACGAGATAAGGGGCTTCTAAACTGAATCTCTGTAATGGTCTTCTAGCGCTCCTAGCGAATAAAATGTGCAACCAGATCCATATATTAATAGCATAGACTAATTCTATTATGTCTATGATTAATAGACATTACATCATACTATCATAGATTAATGCAAAGTTAATTTTTTATAGTTCTCAAAATATCAAACTAAAAAAAAAAAAAAACAATTTTATTATCCACGTGGTTTCGAAAACACATAATTAAGTGGCATAACATGAGGCATCTCCGTAGTTTTTCAGGATCATTATTGTACCTTTAGTGTAGGTATGTACTATGTAGAGACCAAGCACGGATCCAGAGCAAAGATCTGGGGGGGGGGGCACAATTTTTTGTTAATGTAAAATTACAATATTGGAATCACTACCCACCATGAACTAAGATAGTATTATCTTAGTTTATGCACAACATAATGATACGTATAATAATATATTATATTATCAGACATACATATAATTTGAAATACAGTAATTCCAGGATCTGTAGAATTATTAAAAAAATTTGGGAAATAATGTATTTGGGGGGCATGGGCTCCTCATCCGCCCCTGGATCCGTCACTGGTAGGGACGTAGGGTCGTCTTAACGTAAAGAAAATAACTAATAATTCAGTAATAAGGTACCTTATACCATGGAACAATACAAAGTAAACAATGAACATATTTGAATTATATATAATACAAAAAATAGAAACTAATATATATTCAAAAATAGCAAATCACGCAATCTAAAAGAAAAATCTATTGTTATATTCTAATTTTTGCAACAAGCGCAACATCTAATATCCACTGGGTACCTACTAAATGATGAAATCGAAAAAAAAAACCAATACCATATTCTATTGTAATCTATAAACCTTGGGAAGAATCCACCTATTAGTGATAGGTACTACATATTTTCAGTTTTTTATTTTATTTTATTTATCAAGCTTTAACTAGTTGAGACATCAATTAGAAGATCGAGACAACGTCTTCGGCTCTTCGCAGGGGATTACTTGGAATGGATAAGGTTGATCCATTTGTATACGATGGTCAGAATGGAAAGGTAGTGTGTTATGAAAACTTTTGTAGAAACAATTTTGCTTCATCGAGTAGGTACTGTTGTTATTTTTAGGCCATTGTCGAATGTAATATTAGCAACAAAGGGCGGGGAGTTTGTCATTTTTCTTAGGTAGTGTTTTGAAAAGTTTAAATTCTTTGTGTGTTTGATTTTTTTGCACTTCCCTAGAGCTAGAACCCGTAGGTCCAGAGAGGTCCTAGAAGGATTATGTACCTATATTATCAATTCGATGTTTAGATTTGTGTAGCAGTGAGCTGAGAATGTTTATTAATAATTCTAATATTAAAACTTATAGGTAACAATGCTAAATTGCTTATTTATTAATATCTTCTGAAATTGATACACACTTCAAACCTTGTAAGATAGAGACAACATAATGTACTGATAGATCAGGGCCGGGCCGATCAATAGCGGCACTCCTGGCGAATTACAATTTTTCGCTCATTCAAACAACTTGTAAATGTAATACAAAGTTCCTTGTAAGTTGTTGCTAATAGAAATCAAAAAAAAAGTTGAGCACAATTGCACAATAATTTTTTATGAGCGTCTAAACTTAGAATTTTGACAAAATTCGTAAAAATCACGAAAATTAACAAATAATATTCAGTTAGAAATTCACAAAAAATGCTCTTTTTATGTCTAATATTTAAAAATATAATACAAGATTCCTTACAAGTTTGTGTACTTTTATCAAAAAAAAATGTCTACCGGAAACTGAAATTAAATTTTTATGTGTGTTTGAAATTAAAATTTTTACAACATTGGATATCACTCGATTTCTCTTGTAGCGATTTTCTTATTTTGTTGTAATTCAAAAACGAATTACTATAGACACTTAAAATTTACACAAAATGTGTTTTTTATCAATTCATATATTTGATAACATTTTCAAAATATTTTGACTCCATTTATGCTGTTAATGGACATTTTAAATTTATATTTTTTTCTTTAAATGTCAATACAATTTTATTGGTTTTGACAAAAAGCATGAAAATTTAATACAAAACTCTTGATAAATTGTTATAATAGCAGTTGAAAAATATTAAAAATACATTGGCTCGATTTTTTTTATAAGGATTTAAAGTTCAAATTTTTACAGTATTTATTAAATTGAAAATTGAAAATATTCTGTTGTGAAAAATTTATACAAGTTTCAATTTTTATAGCTAGGATTGAAAAATTAAAAAAAGGTTACACTTAAGCAGTTTTTTTCCGTAACTAATCTAAAAATTATATGAACATAGTGATTTTTTACAGACATTTTAAGTTCAAATTCGGACAAAATTGCTTATTAACACAAAGAAAACGTTTATTATTTTGTTGTAATTCGGTTCCAAAACAGCCCAGTTTTACATAGGTATATTTAATATTTTTTCAGCATCACTGATGTTTTAAGAATAATATTAATTCAACTTACCGGCTGCCATATTAAGAATAAGTAATAACAATATAAAATATCCTAAACTGACATATCGTCTCCACTCAGAATCGTTTTTCTTATAACATGATTTGATATTATTGAATTCAAATTTAATACCACCCATAACAGTGACCTTTTAGACAACTAACGCTAATGTACAGCAGAGTGACATCCACATGTCCGCTTTTTTTTACGTTTAATTGTGAATTCAGTCGACTTATTTATTGTGTTGAAAACTTAAAAACAGTACATTTTACATTTGATGGACTTTAAGACGGAGTACTGAGTAAACCATTTCTGATGCACTTCCATTTTTATTATTTTCGGCCATAGGAAACACATTGTTATTTCCTGCGTCTTGTAAACAGGTAGAAATATATTATACATTGTTATAAATAAAATATAATACTTTACGATATCAGTTTAATTGTCTATCGTCGTAAATGAAAATTAATTTCAATAACCAATAGTAAATTTGAGGTTTAATGATATAAATTTAAGTGTTAAATTTATAACACAGTATTAGTTTTAATTACAGATATTAATATGTTGAAATATTTTACCTTAGATTTTCAAATTTAAATTAAATTATATACAATTTTGCGCCCCTGTCAGGCGCCCTCCTTGCCAGGCCCTCGGCCCGGCTCCAGATAGATTATTAATACTTAAAAATAAAAATCACACTTTCAATTTTTGATTGCAGTCAACCTTATATATATATATATCATATTATATACTATGAATGGACCCATGTCTCGTAACGATAACTTGGAGCACATTATTAGCGCAACCAATCTCTGTCTGAGATGCTTAATGTGTGAATTGAAATATCGTATATTTTTCTATGTGAGTTGATATATTAAATAAATATAAATTAATAGCGACCAACCGCTAAATAAACCACTGTTCGAATGACGCATGCGCACATCAAGCAGTCCAGTCAAAGTATCTTCGCTTATAATAATATATGCTTCAAACTATTTACACTGGTGAGATGGGCATGGATCCATGCATAGTATATGATCTAAGTCCTAAGGTGTTAACAATCAACAGTTCAACTTGATAAAACAACATAATATTTACAACCACTAAGGATGTTTTTACTCAAAGTGTCCTAGTTAACCCTCCTCCAATAATATTTACCCTCTGTTACTCCAATACTATTTATTGTTTTGCCATTATTCAGATTGATACATATGTGTCCTCCAGTGGCGTAGTCAGACCTTCCGGAGGAGGGAGGTGATTAAACCCTCCAACCATTTCGTAATCCTGGCTACGCCACTGCCTTCTCCGTGGTGCTTACAGAGGGTTAAATAAGTGATGAGAAGGTTATTGTAAACCTATATGGTTAGTTAAAAGTTAAAACCAAAGATATATTGAATAAACTAGATTACTAACTGCGATACTGCAATACATTTTTATATATATTTTTTAAACTTAAGCCAACTGCTTCAAGGAGACATCTGATTAATCATTCGGTATCTAATAAGCTTATTGTGAATAGATTTTCAGGTTAATTAACCTGGAGATTATAGGCCGTAGTCTTCAGTGCATGTATACGGTATGTATAGTATGTACCAAGGTGTCGGCACCTTTTTCGTGCCATTTGCGGTCAATTTATTTCTATTTACCTGACTATAACATTTGGGCCGAATGGTAAACTCCTACAAATGTAGTGTTACTCCTATTAAAGATAGTGTTAATTCCTACAAAAGATAGTGTTAACTCCTATAAAAGATAGTGTTGACTCCTACAAAAAATTAATATCGTATTGCTGTAAAAAATATCAGTCTTGTAATATATTAACACATAAAATTAAAATGGTTTGAAAAATATAATAAAAATGTTAATAAAACAATAATCATTATCATTTACGTTTAAAACAACATTTTTAAAATATAGTAAAAGTTTTAATAGAATAATAGTCATAATCATTTAATCCTAAAACAAAATATGTTTGAAAAAATAATAAAAATGTTAATTAGACAATTTATAACTTTTTACCATTCTGACTATACATGAATTCCATTGAAATTTGTAATAATGTACGACTATAAGAGTGACTAACTTTACTGCACAAAACGACGAAAGACTCAAAACATTCACTATACTATAAACTCAAACAATACACAGTTATACATTTACGAGCGGACTACGATATCGGCAATAAACGCCAATTTGTTCGGAAATTTCCGATACTGACGATATTATCATGTTTTATCGTTATTCGACGCCATATCGCTGATCTATTTAAAACATTTTGTACTGCAAGTGCCGATATGAACGTATAGTCATATAGTTTATAATATTAATATTATCTTACCTTCGAGAATCATCATACAGCGTATAAACAAGCTCTATTCAAGCGTTTGTTTATTAAATAATATATATTTATTATTTTCAAGTTATAATAATTTTGATCTTTTTGAGCTTTTCAACTTCAAAATTGTGAATTTAAGTAATATTACCCTATTGTTTAAAGGGAAATATTTCTTTGTAGGAGGTTACAATATCTTTGATTTTCTGGTAAAAATTTTAAAAGGTTATTAGTGTAGGAGTTTACATTTAATGATGATTCAGGTAAAAAGGTTATTCGTGTAGAAGTTTACAATTACGTTTGGCCAAATTTGGATGCTATATATAACATATATAAATGTATTGTATACTTAATTTGTGCTAATAGGTATATATTTACTATTTTATTATATTTAAACTTCCCTTCACACTTTTCAAGGTTAAGGAGTAAGGACTGACAGTATTTTTTACTAGCGTGTTTAAAAGCTTATTATTATTATAAATTACTCATATAATAATAATATATTTGTTAACACATTACATAAAAGGGTACTCATTTTTTTAAACCTTATTACAATTATTATGAAAAATTCACATAATAATACATTTTTAGATCACATTACATAAACGTAAACATATAATACTAATACTAACATATATGTACATAAACATAACCTTATACTAATTTTTGAATAATGGCTATTTTTTTAAGTATTTGACTAAATTATCTATTTCATACTCTATTAATGTTTTTTAATTCTTTAGTGTAATTGTATGAACATATTTTTTCTCTTTTTACCTTCCATATTTAAGTATCTTCTTGCATACAAAAGTTCCAAATTATCACCTTCTTTTTAAGACAGCCATACAAATTCTTAAACTTTGGTCGTGGAATATTTAATATTTTATTAAGTTAATTATTCCAACCCTAAAGAATTACCTTTAGTTGTATTAATAATAATAATAAACTTTTTAAACATATTTTCATAATATAATATGTATTTAGAATATAATATTATATACAGCACCTTAAATTGTATAGTCTGGTAAATAGAAATAAATTGACCGCAAATGTCCCGGAATCACCTACCTGCCAACTATATATTATAATTTAACCGGCAATTTTTTTGTGCTTCTTGAAATTCATTTGCTTTTGGGTACCCTTGTCTCCTTCCCTAATTTAACTCTTGATGTTTTTTTTATATACATATTTTAAGCTTTGATAACCCGATGCGCTCTCAAAAATCATTTTTTAATGAACTAATTATTGTGAACAGTTTTTTCGGCTTAAGAATCTGGAGATTGTAGACTAGCTTTTTGAATTTAGACACTGCATCTTTAAGAGAACTCTGAAAAATCGTTCTTAAATAAGCTAGTTATCGTTATTTGAGGGTATTTTTTTTGGGGTGTTTGAATCTAGAGATACTAGACTGCAGTCTTCAGTGTATATACGCTACAATGGTACGCTCCCGTTACAGTTGCCATTGTAGAACAAAGATTTTCAACATTGAAACGTTTGAAGTCATATTTGAGGAATTTTACGGGGGGGGGGGG